TTGTATTAGACACAGAATTATTCCTGCTTGGTTTGGCCCAATCTCCCACTGCTCCAGAACAACAAAACCAAACCCTGGGAGGCAGCCAGGGAACAGCAGGGCTTGGGAACCCTCAGTGCTGCCCAGCTGTGGTCGCTCAGACATCCAAGGAAGGAACTTGCACCATCAGCAGCCTTTCGACCTCTGGTGGAAACTACGAATGGCTTTGGAATCTGATTCATCACAGCAACCAGGGCTCCTCCTGCAGCCTCAACTGCCCCTGTGCAACCAAACAGGGACTCTCTGACAAACCTGGTTCTTGTCCAGCCAGTTGATGATCTCGTTGCATTTGTCCAGGATTTTCTGCTTGTCATCGTCAGAGATCTTGCCCTGGAGCTTCTCATCCTCCACGGTGGCTTTCATGTTGAAGGCGTAGGACTCGAGGGAGTTCTTGGAGGACACCTTGTCCCTCTGCTTCTCATCCTCTGCCTTGTACTTCTCTGCCTCCTGCACCATCCTCTCGATGTCCTCCTTGCTCAGCCGGCCTGCAGGGAGCACAAATCAGTCAGAACTTCATCTTTTAGGGAATGATTTCAAATTCCCAAACATTTCAATTTAAATTTTGAGAGGCAGAAGAACCCCAGAACAAGCCCTCATAGATTTAAAGCCTCACAGAGATACAAATCAGACTACAGCCCAATTCTGATTAAAACAACCAGCAGAGCTTGACAAACCCATTTTCAAAGCTCTGCCACCCTCAGGACAGCAGGTCCTTACCCTTGTCATTGGTGATGGTGATCTTGTTCTCCTTGCCAGTGCTCTTGTCCACAGCAGACACGTTCAGGATGCCGTTGGCATCGATGTCAAAGGTGACCTCGATCTGAGGGACCCCTCTGGGAGCAGGGGGAATGCCAGTCAGCTCAAACTTGCCCAGCAAGTTGTTGTCCTTGGTCATAGCACGCTCTCCTTCATACACCTACGGACAGAAACCACCAATTTTATCATTAAAGCCATAATGGGTTAATTAATTGTTGTCCTGAAGGGATGTGGTCGCTCAGACATCCAAGGAAGGAACTTGCACCAACACCAGTCTTTCGACTTCTGGTGGAAACTACGAATGGCTTTGGAGTCACTTTCATCACAGCAACCAGGGATTCACAAACCACAGCAATTCAACACCTCTGGCCTAAAATTACTGAAGTGTTCACCAGTGGGAGCACTGACAGTGTGCTGTTACCCCAGGGCTCCCTGCTCACCTGGATCAGCACCCCGGGCTGGTTGTCAGAGTAGGTAGTGAAGGTCTGGGTCTGCTTGGTGGGGATGGTGGTGTTGCGCTTGATCAGCACCGTCATGACCCCGCCAGCCGTCTCAATGCCCAGCGACAGCGGGGTCACATCCAGCAGCAGCAGGTCCTGCACGTTCTCTGACTTGTCCCCAGACAGGATGGCAGCCTGCACAGCTGAGGNTTGTAGGATTTTCCCTCTGAGCCCCACATATCCCAAACTGTGCTGTGTTTGTAGGATTCACCCTTGAACCCCCACATATCCCTGACCTGTTTGTAGGATTTTCCCTCTGAGCCCCACATATCCCAAACCTGTGCTGTGTTTGTAGGATTTTCTCTGAGCCCCATATCCCAGATCTGTGTCTGTAGGATTTACCCTGTGAGCCCCACATATCCCAAACTGTGCTGTGTTTGTAGGATTTTCTCTGAGCCCCACATATCCCAAACTGTGCTGTGTTTGTAGGGTTTTCCCTCTGAACCCTCCTCCCCAAGCCCCACCAGGCTGTGGGTTTGAACCAGAGCTCTGACAGCTCCCAGGAACTCCCTTCATCCACTAAATACCCTAAAACAATAAATACCCTGACCCACTAAATACCCTAAAACACTAAATATCCTCACCCACTAAATACCCTAAAACAAATACCCTAATCCACTAAATACCCTAAAACAATACCCTGACCCACTAAATACCCTAAAACACTAAATATTTGACCCACTAAATACCCTAAAACAATAAATACTCTAACCCACTGAATACCCTAAAACAATAAATACCCTGACCCACTAAATACCCTAAAACAAATATCCTAAAACAATAAATATATGACCCACTGAATACCCTAAAACACTAAATATACTCACCCACTAAATACCCTAAAACAAATACCCTAAAACAAATATCCTAATCCACTAAATATCCTAAAACAATAAATATATGACCCACTAAATACCCTAAAACACTAAATATCCTCACCCACTAAATACCCTAATCCACTAAATACCCTAAAACAATAAATACTGACCCACTAAATACCCTAAAACACCAAATATATGACCCACCAAATACCCTAAAAACAATAAATACATGACCCACTAAATACCCCAAAACAATAAATACCCCAAACCACTACCACTTTCCAAACCCAGTTTTGTGGCCCTCAAGGCAACAAAAACCTCGCACACAATTAACGGGAGGTGCTGCTCTGGCTTCTATTAACAACCATTAATTANATTTTCACTCATTTTTAACCCTTCTGGCCTGGTTCGGGTGCTGTGGTGGCTGCAGGGCCCTGTGAGCCTGTGAGCCCCACATACCCCAAACTGTGCTGTCCTTGTAGGATTTACCCTCTGAGCCTCACATATCCCAAATCTGTGCTGTTTGTAGGATTCACCCTGTGAGCCCCACATACCCCAAACCCGTGTTGTGCTTGTAGGATTTTTGCTCTGAACCCCACATATCCCAGATCTGTGCTTGTAGGATTTTCCCTGAGCCCCACACATCCCAAACCTGTGCTTGTAGGATTTTTGCTCTGAACCCCACATATCCCAAACCCATGCTGTGTTTGTAGGATTTACCCTTGAACCCCACATATTCCAGCCCTGTCCTTGTAAGATTTTCCCTGAGCCCCCACATATCCCAAACCCGTGCTGTGCTTGTAGAATTTTTGCTCTGAACCCCACATATCCCAGATCTGTGTCTGTAGGATTCACCCTGTGAGCCCCACATATCCCAGATCTGTGCTGTTTGTAGGGTTTTCCCTGAGCCCCACATATCCCAAACCTGTGCTGTCCTTGTAGGATTTTCTCTGAGCCCCACATATCCCAAACTGTGCTGTGTTTGTAGGATTTTCCCTCTGAGCCCCACATATCCCAAATCTGTGTCTGTAGGATTTTCTCTGAGCCCCACATATCCCAGATCTGAGCTTGTAGGATTTTCCCTGAGACCCACATATCCCAAACCCGTGCTGTGCTTGTAGAATTTTTGCTCTGAACCCCACATATCCCACCCCTGTGTTTGTAGGATTCACCCTGTGAGCCCCACATACCCCAAACTGTGCTGTCCTTGTAGGATTTACCCTTGAACCCCACATATCCCAAACCTGTGCTTGTAGGATTTTTGCTCTGAACCCCACATATCCCACCCCTGTGTTTGTAGGATTTTCCCTGAGCCCCACATATCCCAAACCTGTGCTGTCCTTGTAGGATTTATCCTTGAACCCCACATGTTCCAGCCCTGTCCTTGTAGGATTTTCCCTGAGCTCCCACATATCCTAAACCCATGCTGTCCTTGTAGGATTTTCCCTCTGAGCCCCACACATCCCAAACCTGTGCTTGTAGGATTTTCTCTGAGCCCCACATATCCCTGACCTGTGCTGTGTTCGTAGGATTTACCCTTGAACCCCACATATCCCAAACCTGTGCTTGTAGGATTTTCCCTGAGCCCCACATATCCCAAACTGTGCTGTGTTTGTAGGGTTTTCTCTGAGCCCCATATCCCAGATCTGTGTCTGTAGGATTTACCCTGTGAGCCCCACATATCCCAGATCTGAGCTTGTAGGATTTTCCCTGAGACCCACATATCCCAAACCCGTGCTGTGCTTGTAGGATTTTCCCTCTGAGCCCCACATATCCCAAACTGTGCTGTGTTTGTAGGATTCACCCTTGAACCCCCACATATCCCTGACCTGTTTGTA